CGATAACTTGTCTATAGAAAAGGTCAAGTTCTATCGATAACTGTCTAGAAAGTCAATTTATCGATAACTTGTCTATGAAAAGTCAAGTTATCGATAACTTGTCTATAGAAAAGTCAAGTTATCGATAACTGTCTATAGAAAAGTCAAGTATCGATAACTTGTCTATGAAAAGTCAAGTTATCGATAAACTTGTCTATAGAAAAGTCCAGTTAGCGATAACTTGTCTATAGAAAGTCAAAGTTATCGATACTGTCTATAGAACAAGTCAAGTATCGATAACTTGTCTATAGAAAAGTCAAGTTATCGATAACTTGTCTATGAAAAGTCAAGTTATCGATAACTTGTCTATAGAAAGTCAAGTAATCGATAACTTTTCTATAGAAAAGCCAAGTTATCGATAAATTTTCAATAACTTTTCTCTAGAAAAGTCAAGTTAAAACTTTTCAATATAAATTTTGTTCCTCTATTATCCACTAAGTCTGTGTGTATTAATAATGTGCTTGGCTGTTTGCGTGTGTGTGTTTTTTCATACTCGTCTGTATTTGTATGAATTTAATTCATGTTATAAAAAAATATTCTGTTATTATTACAATACACAAAAAACCTCTACATGAGTTTGGTGCTCTTATAAAGTTTAACTTCCTTTTCATACTCTGTCTTTTCGACACAGACTCGTGGTAATTTCCGGTACTCTTTGCTCCTCTTGTCTCTTCAAGTTTTCATTTATTTATTTTGGAATAATGATTAGAGCCAACATTAGAGCAATGAAATAAAGAAAGAAAAAAATATGAAAAAAGTTTTGAACAACACCCCGTTAAAAGTAAATTGGGTTGTTGGTTGTTTTTTTTTCGCTCTTTTGTCGATGTCGAATTTATTATTGTTGTTACTGTAGTTGTTGTTGTTGCTGTTAAGAAAAACCACCCATAAAACTTGTATGTGTCTGTTAACGAATTTAGGTTGCAGCCACCATCACAGCCACAACCACAACCTACAGCAACATAAAAAAAGTTTTTGAATGAAATTCGATTTTTATTTTTTTCTTTACGTCGTTCTTCTGCTTTAAGTTGATTTGTGTGCATGTATGTGTGCGGTGCTTCCCTTTCCGTTTAGAGTTTGTCTGCTTCTTTTTTTTTATTAGAATTTTGTATGTGTCTGTTGATTTTGTTGTTGTTTTTTTTATAATGTTCACTTCAAGCAAAAATAGAAGAAAAAAACTTTATTTCTTTGAAAATATTCTTGGTATTTTTCCATTTTCTTGTATTAGTTGTTGCTTCGTTGGTTACATCCTGTTTCTGTTTCTGATCCTGATGCTGTCGTTATATATACTAAATGTGTATGTGTGTGTGTAGGTGCGTTAGTATGTGTATAACTGCCGGTTATATTTTCCATCCTGTGTTCTCTGACTCGTTTAAAGAAAAGTTTTTGTGTGTTTTTTTTTTTTTAATTTTCTTTACAAAACTTTTTTGTATGTTTGTTTGTAATTTCTAGCGAAATTACAAAAACAGCAACAAATAATCATCAACAAAAAGAAGAAAAACTTGCAAACTTTTTTTTCCAAGTCAGTTCTTAACGAGTCTTTTTGTCTCAAGGGTGATTTTCAACTTGTATTTTATTTTTACTTTATTTTTTGTTTCGTTTCTTAATGCCACTGCCGTTTGTTTGCAAGTTTTAGTTTCAGTTTTAGAGCAAAGGAATTAGTTCATTGATGATTTAAATTTTTTGTAGGAATATTTTAGAAACTTAATTTAATTTGATGAATTAGGTGTTTTTTTTTTGCAAATTCAAAAGTTTTAACAAATTTTTAGTTAGTCTTTAATGAAACGTTGAATTTCGGAGTTTTGTTAAATACAAAGCAATTTGTGATAGAAATTCGAAATGTTCCCTGATTAAGGAACTGCATGCGATTTAAAAATTTTCATTTTGTTATTTAATTAAATTTATTTATATGCAATTTCCAATTAAGACTCTTTACGACCATAGTAACCGTTTTCCTCAATAGAAACTTGACTTTTTACAAGAAAAATTATATATTAACAGAACATCGTTTATCTACATGAAATCGATTTTAAAACATAAATCGGTTTAAAGTGGAAATTTTTGTAAAAATGTGATAAATATTTCGAATTTTTAAAACAAATAAAAATTAATTTTTGGTTAAAAAATATTTTTTATTTTTTTATTAATTTTTACTGAAAAGTTTTATAACTTTATACTTTACACTTTATAACTTATACTTTATACTTTGTACTTTATACTTTATACTTTATACTTTATACTTTATACTTTATACGTTATACTTTATTCTTTATACTTTATACTTTATACTTTATACTTTATACTTTGTACTTTATACTTTATACTTTATACTTTATACTTTGTACTTTATACTTTATACTTGTACTTTATACTTTATACTTTATACTTTATACTTTATACTTTATACTTTATACTTTATACTTTATACTTTATACTTTATACTTTATACTTTATACTTTATACTTTATACTTTATACTTTATACTTTATACTTTATACTTATATACTTTATACTTTATACTTATACTTTATACTTATACTTTATACTTTATACTTTATACTTTATACTTTATACTTTATACTTTATACTTTATACTTTATACTTTATACTTTATACTTTATACTTTATACTTTATACTTTATACTTTATACTTTATACTTAATACTTTATACTTTATCTCGGCCCTAAATAGGTCACAAGTTATTGACTTAATACTTTTAAATCGATCATATTACAGGAATTTTATTTTCCTTTAAATTTGGAATGTTTTTCTCCTTTATAGCTGCCATTCATTTCCAGACTTATGAAAGACGCCAATGAAATCCCTTTCCTTATGTTTTGCTGTTTGCTTTTCGTCCTTTTTTGTCTTCCTTTTATTTTATACTTTTTGCTATCAAGATTACATGATATGATTTTATTGATTTTCTTGCTATTCATCGTCGTTTTGGTTCTCATACAAAATATTTTTATTATTTCAATTCAATTCTAGGGACGAAGGATAAAGAGATATATGAATGGATGAATTGATGGGAAGTAGCAAAACATAATGGTTGAATGGACAAATAAATAAACAACCCAATAGACCAGCCAAGGCAACCAGCATCCCACCCGATTGCTATATGACTGTCAGTCGTTTTTCACAATGAATAGAGGAGTAGAATGAATGAATTTTTTTTTTTATACATCACATCAACTTAACTGACAGCCAGTGTCTGTCAGTTTTAGTTGTGCAAATAATCAACAAATAAGGCTGGACTCAGCTGTTCTTCTTGTTATGTAAGGGGGTTTCACATTACCAGGATTTAGAGAACAAAAAAGTTTTCTATACAAGTTAAGCTAACTGAATGACTGACTTTGGCGATTTTCGTGACTGACAGTTGTCTCTACTATTGCTATTTGGCTTATGGTCCTGCACTCTCTCATTTTGTTAGAGGGAGTTTTTGTAGGAATTTCTTAAGAAAAAATGTTATTTACTTTAGATTTTATCCATTTCTTTTGCTTTTGTCATATGAAAAAAACGAAAAAAAAAAGAAATATTTAATAGTTAAGTTGATAATTTCATCATTATACTCCATTTGAAGTAAAAGAAGTTTCTTTTTTTTAAGATATCATATGTAGTAAGAAGTGGCAAAATTTTATAGTTATCAGCATGAAATCCCTGGTGTTTGTGTTACTTTTTATTTCTTTTTTTCTTCCAAATATCAACACGACTGTCAACAACACTGTCACATCACATCAACGATTTGAATTTTTATTTTCGAATACAACAGAGAGAGAGTATTTTGGCTTTTAAAAATGATTTGCATATAGAATATTTAAACTTAGCAGCATATTTGAAGTCCCATTGGATTTTTAAAACAAGTTTTGCATCAGTTTGTGGTTTATAAAAAAACTTAAATTCTAAATTTTTATTAAAATATATTTAAGTTGAGGATTTAGCCCTAAAATAATATTTATTGTTATAAAATCTATAAAATTTTTCATAATCTATAAAATTTTTCATACTATTATAAAACTTACAAAACAATTATATAATTAGATCGGAAACCCAAGTACATACCTGCAATGAAAGAAAGAAAAAAACGTAAATTTAAATATTTTAACAACATTAATATTTTAAAATTTTTCAAAATAAATCTAAAGTAAAGAAATCTTTTAAAGTTCTACATAATCTATACAATTATCATAACAAAACTTATAGTAACAAAGTACCAATCCTTTAAAATCTACCTTTTCCCCAAAAGTCTTAAATCTAAAAGAAAAATTCTTTTAAAGTTTCCAATTTTTGTCTCACGAATTTTCCTCACTATGTATGTATGTGGCATATCTTAACATTATGTTTTTGTTGCTGTTCCTTATTATTGTGCTCGCGTTGCACTTAAACAAAGATTTATGTGGCAAGGCAGGCAGCCATTAATTTTCATTAAATTCTTTGAAAATTTCTTGTTCATCTTGTGTTTTTTCTGATTTCTTTAGTTTGTTTTACGCGAGATTTTAAGCTACAAAGTTTTTCTTACAGTTGTTTTATTGTCAGACGTAAGGATTTTAATGTTTACTTTTTTCTTTTCTTCGAAAAAGTTGGACAATTTGGGTTGATTTCACTTTCCTTAGGGGGAAAAAAGGAAATTGCAAGAAAATAAGTTACTTGCACTAAAAATTTCATAACTTTAGTTGCTCTTATATAAGAAATTTATTGATAAATTTACTACTTTTAGAACTAAACTAGAAATGAACTAGAATAGGATAATAACAGAAGTAGAACAGAACTGAACTAGAACTAAAATAGCACTAAACTAGCAATGAATTAGAAAGAAACTGGAACAGAACAGAACTAAGAACTAGAACAGAACTAGAACAGAACTAGAACAGAACTAGAACAGAACTAGAACAGAACTAGAACAGAACTAGAACAGAACTAGAACAGAACTAGACTAGAACAGAACTAGAACTAGAACAGAACTAGAACATAACTAGAACAGAACTAGAACAGAACTAGAACAGAACTAGAACAGACGAACTAGAACTAGAACAGAACTAGCACGAACTAGAACAGAACTAGAACAGAACTAGAACGAACTAGAACAGAATAGAACAGAACTAGAACAGAACTAGAACAGAACTAGAACAGAACTAGAACAGAACTAGAACAGAACTAGAACAGAACAGAACAACTAGAACAGAACTAGACAGAACTAGAACAGAACTAGAACAGAAACTAGAACAGACTAGAACAGACCTAGAACAGAACTAGAACAGAACTAGAACAGAACTAGAAACAGAACTAGAACAGAACTAGAAACAGAACTAGAACAGAAACTAGAAACAGAACTAGAACAGAACTAGAACAGAACTAGAACAGAACTAGAACAGAACTAGAACAGAACTAGAACAGAACTAGAATAGAAACTAGAACAGAACTAGAACAGAACTAGAACAGAACTAGAACAGAACTAGAACAGAACTAGAACAGAACTAGAACAGAACTAGAACAGAACTAGAACAGAACTAGAACAGAACTAGAACAGAACTAGAACAGAACTAGAACAGAACTAGAACAGAACTAGAACAGAACTAGAACAGAACTAGAACAGAACTAGAACAGAAACTAGAACAGAACTAGAACAGAACTAGAACAGAACTAGAACAGAACTAGAACAAACTAGAACAGAACTAGAACAGAACTAGAACAGAACTAGAACAGAACAGAACTAGAACAGAACAGAACTAGAACAGAACTAGAACAGAACTAGAACAGAACTAGAACAAACACTAACAGAACTAGAACAGAACTAGAACAGAAGTAGAACAGAACTAGAACAGAACTAGAACAGAACTAGAACAGAACTAGAACAGAACTAGAACAGAACTAGAACAGAACTAGAACAGAACTAGAACAGAACTAGAACAGAACTAGAACAGAACTAGAACTAGAACAGATAGAACTGAACTAGAACTGAACTAGAACTGAACTAGAACTGAACTAGAACTGAACTAGAACTGAACTAGAACTGAACTAGAACTGAACTAGAACTGAACTAGAACTGAACTAGAACTGAACTAGAACTGAACTAGAACTGAACTAGAACTGAACTAGAACTGAACTAGAACTGAACTAGAACTGAACTAGAACTGAACTAGAACTGAACTAGAACTGAACTAGAACTGAACTAGAACTGAAATAGAACTGAACTAGAACTGAACTAGAACTTAACTAGAACTGAACTAGAACTGAACTAGAACTGAACTAGAACTGAACTAGAACTGAACTAGAACTGAACTGGAACTGAACTAGAACTTCAGAAAAATTGTCCATAATTTTCTTTAAATTCTTATTTTTAAATTAAATAACTAATAAAAATTTCCCTTAAATTTAGTTATTTACGACCCTCTTTATATTAAGTAGATGTGTGTTGGTACGTTGCTCATACACACACGCATTATCATCAACACATCTTGCCATTAGCAACCATAAAACTATCGCCTAAATTGGCGACATATTGTCGTCGCCATTTTGACGCTTCAATTGTGTCGCCAGGCTACAAAAAGCAACACAACAACAACAAAAAAACAAAAAAATAATGAATTAAACCCAGCAAAAATCATATAAACTTTTTAAAACTATAGGAAACAACAACATATACAGCAGCAACAATGAACATAACAACAACGACAGTGAGAAAAGAACTAACAGGACAATAATTGTTGTTTACAGCAAAGAGGAAGAAAATTACTTAAAACAACTAAAATTAAGGAATAAAATTTATTAACAAAATAAGAAATTTCTCAGATTTCTCTCTCTCTTTTTCATACAAACAATAACAAGCCGGTTGGTTGGTTTTTGATTTTAGGCTGCCAGAGAAAGTAATTTAGTGCGTGTTTTAATTTTTTTTTTCGTAGTGGGGCAACACCACACATATAGTATAATAAAATGGCAACATTATTTTTGTTGTTATTTTCTATTTAAATATTTTATATTTTCCTATTTGTATGTTAGTTTGTTGAATTAGAGAAGACTGTTTTGTTTGTATATACCACTCCGTCCGTCTGTCTATTTGTGGACTTTTTTCTTTTTTGTTGGCGGAAAAACTGCCGCCTGCCAAATGTGAAAACAGAACTGCGTTTTCCTTTTATTTTTATGTTTTTTTCGGCTTTTGTTGTTTTTGCCAATTTTAGTTGTTATTTCAAATGTAAATTTATTGTGTTAATTTATTATGTGACACAAGAATTATTGCTGTCTTGTGTATTTTTAATTATAGAGAGTAAAAGCAAACGAGATGCGAATAAAATTATTGTAATGGCCAAAAACTAAAAGGGGAAAATTACAAAAAAAAAGTATATATATTTTGAGGAAAAATTATAGAGAAAAATTATGATATGTTAAGAATTATTCAATTAAAAAACATGATTTGTAGGATTTTTAATAAAATTATTAATAATATTCATTAAATTAAATCAATATTTTTTTTGTTATTATAAATAATCTGGTAACACTTCATTATATCATTTGCACTAAAAATAAATTTCCAATTAATTTTTCAAATAAATTTCAAACAATTATTAAACATTTGCTGGCACGTTTTTCGTGTGGAAAGCGTGAAATAAAACTAAAATCAACATGTGCAAAAAAAAGATTTATCTCCATAAATTATACGTTTAGAACCTGTCATTTTAAAAGTCAATCAACTTCATTTGTTTATTTATTATTAATTTGATTTTCGCTTTTTTTCTCTGCACAAATCCCACAAGACTTTGAAATGTTTAAACTAAAATGAAAAATTAAAAAACCATCTGGTCATTCAGGCCAGACGATTGTATAGACAAACAGACAGACAACTTTTGAATTAAATTTTTTTTTGCAAAATAAATTTTAATTATAAACAAAAAAATTCTATTAAATATACGTTTATTTCTACTCTATAAAATAAATATTGTTTAATGATTAACAAAAAAAAAATGTAATTGTAGTTTTTGTAAACAACCCACATAATAAAATATTTTTTATTTGGTAGTAAAAAACATCTCCAGACAATGACTTTTGTTTAAGAAAATTTGGCCATTGCGGAACTTTTTTAAATGTTAACAAAAAAAAAATTAATAAAGTCAAAATTATACGTATAGATGTTAGCAATTTAAGAACTAACTCGACTTTCCTATTTAAAAAATTCAGAATCTGACCTTAAAAGAAAATTGTGAGCATAAGAAACATTATTTAAAATTTTTATAAAAGCGAAACTATGAAAATTTTTAAATATTACTTACTGCTACTACTGCCTTTGCACCTACAGTTAGCCATCAAATCAGCAATCAGTCAAAATAAATAAAAAGTAAAAAAAAAGAAAGTCTTCATTGTTTGTCTTTTACAGTGCAAATTAAAACAACCTATTGATGCCTGAAGTACGCTCACATTATGCAAATATTGTATAATCGTTAATAATTTTCTAACAGAAAATATTAACTAATAAAGGAAACTTTTAAAGCGGTTTATTATATTATTTTACTATTATTGGAGGATTCTAAGTAGAATAAACTCGAACTAGAACTCAACTAGAACATAATGAGAACTGTACGAGAACGAACTATAACATAACTAGAACAGAACTAGAACAGAACTAGACTGAACTATAACTGAACTAGAACTGAACTAGAACTGAACTAGAATAGAACTAGAACTGAACTAGAACTGAACTAGAACTGAACTAGAACTGAACTAGAACTGAACTAGAACTGAACTAGAACTGAACTAGAACTGAACTAGACTGAACTAGAACTGAACTATAACTGAACTAGAACTGAACCAGAACTGAACTAGAAATGAACTAGACTGAAACCAGAACGAACTATAACTAAAACTAGAACTGAACTAGAACTGAACTAGACACTAGAACTACTGAACTAGAACTGAACTAGAACTGAACTAGAACTGAACTAGAACTGAACTAGAACTGAACTAGAACTGAACTAGAACTGAACTAGAACTGAACTAGAACTGAACTAGAACTGAACTAGAACTGAACTAGAACTGAACTAGAACTGAACTATGAAGAACTGAACTAGAACTGA